TCGCACAGAACACTTCACATGGGGGAGGAAGGTGGTTTTTATAAATAGCACTAGTTTGCTCAGCTCTCAGTGTCCACTAGGTAATATTTATCTGGACATTCTGGTCCTGGTCAGCCAACAATGTTCCCTTAACTTGGCAAGAGCCTTGGGAACACAAAAGAGACACTTCAGGTGCTAAAGGCCCTAGTTTTTCTCAGGTGTCATAGATAGGGAAATACTCATTTTTATTCATGTGAGTTTAACAACTTTTAATACAGAGAAAGAGGGAGAGAATAAGGTAAAGAATCAAGGAGAAAAAAGAGAACAAAGCTTTAATAAGGGATAATATCAAGGAGGACTTCTGGCAACTTGTGGAAGGGATTGGCTTTGTCTGGGATGGGCGCGGGGAGGACACGGTCCACTTCGCATGTAACAGGAAACAGCTCCGATTTCGTATAAAAGCCTTTTCAGGGTCTTACCTCCCAAATCAGCAAGAGTCTTTCTCTCCTACCCTGTTTATTTCACCTGTCTCTGATCACCAGCACTGGCATGGGAAGATACTCACTTGTGAGCTCTGTGATGCCAGCATGTGGGGCCACGGTGAGAGTTTGAGTCCGTCCTGCAATGAGGATGAACCATCTGAGCCTGACTTGTAGACTTTTTAATCATTCCCTGGTCACTGTTCCCATCAGACTGGTGATTTTCGAGTCCACACTAGGAGTACTGCAGCATTAGTAGGGAGGTTGACAGGAACATTTAAACATCTTTACCCAAATTTTCTGTCAGTAAGGACAAGTACAAAACGCAGGAACTAATCCAAAGAAGCAGTTAGGAAGAATTGGAAGGACCTTTCTGGGAGCCCCCGGAGTGCACAGGATGTCACGGGGAGGGGCGTGGAAGGCACAGAAGCCCAGAACTGCGACAACAGAAGCCAGCCACACGGCCTTGCCTGGCATTGAGCCAGCACAGGCTTTTCTCGACTCAGTACTCTGGAAGGTTTCATAAATACAAAGAACTCAGTGTTAGGGGCACAAAAGAGGGCAACGCCATAGGTCGTTTGTGTCTTCCTTCTCTCACACATTTTCTAAGAAGTTCATTCACATTTAGTATGTAGCTTTACTTTCGTCATTTCCGTGTTCTGCAGAACTCTGTGACGTGTGCATAAATCAGTTCACATAGACAAGTGGAGGGTGACCTGCTCTTTGGAGCTATTTTGAAGAACGCTGCCCTGAGTTTTCTTATGAAGGGGTCCAGGTGCATACAGCGTGTGCGTTTTGAAGGCAGAATTAATACAGAATTGATAGGCTTTAGGATCTGTCTTGTTCAAGATAATGTCAAGGAGTTTTTCAAAATGATTACAACAGCTTCTATTCTCAATACCAAAGTCTAAGGGTTTCTATCAATCTATACCCCCATTAATTCCCAACAATGTCAAGATATTGCTTTGGATTTTGTGAATTTATCTTCATCCCTTAAGCATTTTATTGAGCAATAATGAGACTGGATAATATCCTTATTGTTTTTGTTCATTCCAAACATTTTTTAAATGATCACATACTTGTCATTTTTTTTCCTCTGAGCTTATTTGCCTTGTTGGTTTTTAAAATATGTGTCACAGATAGCAGTATTGTTTCCATTCACACTGAGTACTTCCTCTAAATGTTCAGCAATCTTTCATTATGAAACTTACAATTCTTTCTTTAAATTTTAGCATTGAAGTGTGTTATACTTTAAGATAACTTTGAGTCAATTGAAATATGGCAAATTAATGCAAACTATCCCCACCTACTATAGCCTGGATGCCCTAAATATTTATAAAAATATGTTGTGTGATGATGAAGTCACATATGTCACCACAAAGAGCTTACTGTATATTTACTATCACCAGGGACTTTTCATTATGTAACCTCAGGTCAATTATCAAAATTGAGGGATTAAGAGACACACAGTAACATTATCCCAACTAGAAGCCAATTTACAACTTGCAAGTAATTCCACTTGTGTCATTTGCTATGGAGGACCACCTGATGGCTTTCCTTGAGAGAAGAGCATTTGGCCCTATCTCTGTGTATTGATATGTACAGAGCTGGCCAGGATATTTTCTTATCCTCTTAAATGGCCTTAAGCAATGCAAATGGACTCATGGAGGTGCCGAGGCAATGTGACAGGTCAGTGATGCCCCACCTATATAGCTCCCAAGTAATATGCACCAGCCAGCGATGCCACACTGCTGGCTGAGATTGAGCTTCGAGATTGAGCTTCGAGAAAGAGTGATGTCTCAGTGCAAGATGATTACACATCAAAACGGAAGCACTGACTGCAAAATACTAGATACTGCCACCGACTGTGATATGCAGATTTCTCTCCTTCTCCCCCTCTCTCTCCTTCCCCCACTCCCCACTCTCTCTCTCCATACTGCAGAGGTGATTTCAGACCTCCTAGCCCAGTTCACAGCGCTCATGTACTTCCTGCCTTCCTCTGTCACTCATCCTTGAGCCCCTCCCCTCTTCACAAATTAATAAAACCTGAGTTTATGGATTGAGGCCATAAACTGGGTTTATGCCTGGGTTGAGGCCTTTGATCTGACTGGACTTAGGACCCCCTTCACTCCCTAGAAATATAAATATGCCTTAATGTCTTTATTCTCAACGTGGATTGCACTGGAAGTGGTAGATTGGAATTACTCATTGAAATTTCATTAACTTTTCCCTGGGATTACAAATATGGACTCCTCTGGACCACAGTGAGGTCTGGAAGGGCCTTCTATAATTTATGGCAGATGAAAACAAAATATTGTAGTGCAAGATGTACGCTAGGATATGATGTTGCACTTAACTGTCACTTTCCTTTAAACTAGATATACATCCAAACTGCATTGCATGGTAAAATATACCATAATCAGAAGAAGGCTGTTATGGTTTGTGTCTGGGTGTCCCCCCAAAGCCTCATGTGGTCATGGGGCAGGCTTTTAGAGTTTGATTGACTATGGGTGTGAGAGCTACACCCGCCCTGGGGTGCATCGTTTGCATATGTAAGGGAGAGCAAGAGGCTGCTTGGGGCCATTTCCTGGCTTTTGTGCTTGTTGCTTTGGCTGTGTTCTGTTGACATGAGCTGTAGCCCTCTGCCATGTGCCACTCTGCCTTGTAATCTGCCAAGCATGGACTGAAACCTCCACAAACTGTAAGCAAAATAAACCTTTCCTTCCTTAATTTTGGGCGTCAGGTATTTTGTCCCAGCAACAAGAGAAAAGTAATCAAGACAAAGGCAAGTTATAAACCAAAGTAAATCAAAACCACAATAACAAAAAGTGATCATGGGTAGCAGCTGCAGGACCATGCCATCATTTCTGCTGTTGTTTTTTGTCTTTTTGAGACAGGGTCTTACTATGCAATTCAGGCTGGCCTTCAACTCACTATGTAGCCCAGGCTGGCCTTGAATTCATGGCAATCCTCCTGCCTCAGCCTTCCAACATGTTGTCTTTTCTGAAAGATACAGAGTTATCTTCAGTAGTTCAATGACAGAATGAAGTGGAGAATTAGATTCACAGAAAAATCAAACAGTAGGAAACAAAAACAAGAAAATTCAGCCATATTCAAGGAGCATGTATAAGTGAAAAAAAATCAACTAAGAGATATTTGAATGTCCAACTTAAGAGAGCATTTAGCATTTTTTTTAAGTAAGCAGTGGTAAAGGATATTCCTTATTTGGTGGGGATGCAGTCCTTTATAAAGTGATATATCGACATTTTAAGGCAAATATAATCATCTCCAAACAATTCCACTGAGAGCGTATTCCTTGGAATAAAAACACGTGTGAAAAACTTTACTGTGCTCTAGAATGGTAAGTAGACTGTACACGAAGGACTCACTTCTAACACTTGACAGAGACTGCTGCCATGGAAACTGGATCATTTACAAGGTAGCAGTAAATTCGTACTAGATTCCTCCTATAAATATCTATGAGAAATGCAAAAAATAAGATACAGAAATTTATATATAAAGGGTGATAGAAAATAGAAAGCTTAAGTTTAAAAATATTACAAGACACATTGCCACTAATCTCAAAATGCTCCCCGTCACTTCGAACATACTTATTCCATTATTCTTGCAATTTCTGAAGCAGTTCTGAAGTCTTTTTCCTGTGTTTATGAGCTATGTTGAAAAACACCATGACTGCTGCTGCAGAGTGTCATCAAAGGGAATGGCAGGCTCTTAAAAACATGACAGTGTGTCCTCACCCACTTTATTCACTGGAACCAGCACTGTACAACTTCTGACTCTCTCCCCCAAGATCAAAATGATTATGAAAGGTAAATTTTTAAAATCAGTTCAGGACATCAAGACAGCTACAAAAGACCCATATGAAAGGATTATTTGATCTCAAAGACAAATGGGAGACTCCACACAAAACTGAGCATATGAGCACAGGGCTCCTCTAGGGTAGACAAAGGAGGCCGGGGGTTTACGAGAATTCTGGCTAGAGGTGGAGCTTGAGGGGCAGGCTCAGTGACGTGCTAGGAGCTGATTGGAGCTTCCCTTACACGTATGGGAAGGGTAAGAGGGAGTCATGTTCAGGGCTGGGCAGAAACCTATCAAAAAGGAAGTCTTGGGGCTGGGGATTTAGCTCAGTGGCACAGTGCCTACCTGGCAAGCACAAGGTCGTGAGTTCGATTCCTGGTACCAGAGAAAAACCAAAAACAAGAACAGTAAAAAGGATGTCTTACTATCATCAAAGTGTGTTGCGCCTTCTCTGGTGCCTGGGATGATTACCTCTATGTACTTCATGGAACCACTGAATTATCCAATACTGTGTGCTCTGCAGAGGGGCTTAGCTTCATGTAAAGGATGAAGGAACATGTGAAGGTATCAGAAAATACCATTATGGCAAAACTTTTAGAGCTTTCAGTGGTAACAAACAGGAACCTATGGAATGGTCACAGATGGAACCTATGAACCACTCCATAGGTTCACCACCACTGAGGTAACACAATCCAACAGAATTTGTGAGAAATCAGGAGAAAACTACCTACTCCCCCAGCAGGAAAAATAGGACCTGGAAGTAGAGTTATTATTGATGAGGACAAAGGGGCAAAACATGGGGAAACATGTTTCTAGAAATGCAAAGATGTTTATCACCCATAGCCTCGGATTCTCAAAGAAAGTTACATACACTACCAAGGTGGAAGAGAGGGAGTAGCAGGTCACAAAGGTGCACACCAGGAGCAGGATGGTCTGGGTGGCTCTGGCCTCCGGGGAGACTCGAGGGGAGCGGTGGGCACTGTGGATATACCGAACCTGCCTCTTGTGCCCATAGAGGATGCTCACCATGGAGCCACTGGCCCAGGCCATGAGACCCAAACAGAGACCATCTGTGCAGCAGAGCAGGGACACGTATAGTGGAGTTGTTATGGTGCCGGAAACAAACCCTGAGCAGAACCCATAATGAAATCTGTTAGTGAAATTCTCGCTGTTGGGATAACCAGTCACTCGCATTGTAATCATGATGTTGAGAAGCAGATGTATGAGCCAGCCGAGGGAACAGCAGGGGCTGATGTACTTGGTGGTTCTGTGTTTCCATGCCACCCACTTGCCGCTTCTGGGGCTGATTGTGAGTGCTTGGAAGCAACTCAGGAGGCAGGTGGTGTTCAGGGAAATCCCTCGGGATATGCGGTTCAAGTATAGAGTAAGTTTACATCCAGTGTCATCCAGTAAATATTTCGACCCAAATTGTCTCATTGTCTGAGGAATTCCTCTTGACATAATAGCCAAGGAATTGGCAAAGGTCAAGTGCGTTATAATCTGGTCTGTGGGTGTCAAATTCTTTCCCGTATATACAGAGAAGAAATAATGAAACAGAAGTGACCAATTGCCTAAAATTCCCACAGTTGTCTGGGAGAAGAAGAAAATACCCATTACTAAGTGCTCTGGAATCATTTTCTTTGCACCTAAAGAAAAAGAAAATTTATTAGCAAGAACAGGTTCTGCTAATAGTTGACAGAAATGTCAAACTCTCATTAGTTTCACTAAGTAGTTTGAAGCAAATACTCATCTCCTTATCATCATTATAAATCTTTACCATTTATAAATGTCTTAAAACTTGTCATTTACATTAAGGAACATTTTCAGCTAATCTCTCTTGTTACACACTTTAGTGTTATTCATTGATTGAGAAATAGAAGTAATCTCAATTTGTAAAACTTCTGTCAGTTACTTGGAAGATTTCTCTTGCGCATATTTTAGGCACTGTTCATGGTTGTGAACAATTCACACCCCTTTTAAGAAGAAAAGTTTATCCTTGCCTAATTCTTCTTTAGGAAAAAAACTTGCAAATATCCCATATAGGATACAAATAAATGGATGGCAGTATTTGTTTAGTAAGAGGTTTATAAAAATGTTTTGATGGGGCAGAATGATTGAAATATTTAACTGGGACTCTTATCTTCATTTAAATCAGACACAAGCATGCAAGGCATCAAAACTGCAATTGCTAAAAATATTATCATGTAGTCAGTATTATAAAAATTTTAAAATAAATTTTAAATTTATAATAAAAATATTTAGAAATACTGAATTATCTTATTTAGTTTTTATTTATTAATTATTTATTTTTGCAATCCCAGGGACTGAACTCAGGACCTTTGCACTGAGCCACATTCTCAAACTTTCTTATCTATCTATTTATCTGCCTATTTATTTATTTATTTCAATTTTTAGACAGGGTCTAAGTTACTAAGTTGTTCAATCTGGGATCAAACTTGAGATATTCTTGTCTTAGCCTCCCAGAGTTCCAGGATTATAGGTATGCACCACTGCTCCCTGCTTACTTTTAAATCAGTTTTTGCAACTGGCCTGAAAATTTCAAAAATGACAATTAGCTATAATTCACTATTCTTCTTAGATGTGAATAACAGGTACAGAAATATTGCTGCGTAATTTCAACTCACCAAATAAAGCTTAATTTATAAATGCTCATGAACACAAATAAAATTATGGGGAAATAGGAATAAGAAATTTTTAGCATAAAAAATGGATTAAGTAAATAAACATGGGAATAATGTACATACCATTCATACCAGATGTGAATTCTCATTATTGCAAATGAATCAATGTGCTCTAAAGTATTCTCTACATTAAATAAAATTACAATTAAATTTAATTGACAGTAAGACTAATCAACTTTATTTAACACTTAATTAATTTGTTAACTACCTTCCACTATAACTGTAATTAATTGCTAAGATTTAAAAATTCAAAATGCTTCTGAAAAATCACTCACACTAGAACTCAAAACATAAGAGAAATTGGAGAAAATAGTTTCAATCAGGTATGTAATGAGGGATTAATACTCAGAATGTCTGAAGAACTCCTCCAGTGATAAAGGTGATAAACATGAAAACATGGGCCAAAGATCTGAATATATTTCTTCTAAAAAGACAAACAAATAATCACCAAACATAAGAAGAGATGCTCCACTTCCTCGGTTACTCGGGGGACACCAACATAACAACATTTTTAAAAGCAGCAAGTGTATCACAGATGAGAGCCATATCTCTGTTGCATTGGCAGAGTTGCAGTGCTCATAGCCAGCATGGCCCAGGCCGAGGGGCATGAAGACCAGGTAAAGACAAGAGGGTCCCAGTGATGGCCTTCTGTTTTTACCTGTAGAAAACAGACAGAAAGGTGTTAGACCAGAGTGATATTGGAAGTGCCTGAGTTTGAATTTCCTCCAGGAACAGCAGTGCATGATATGAGACTGTCATGTGTGGGCTGTGGAAACCTTGGACCATGGTGAGGATGACAGGAATTGAGAAAGTCAGTCATAGTCTCATATGAGTTACAGAAGACAAGGGATACAACTCTGAGCACCACGGGTAAGAACTGCATGTCCTGCACAGGACAATTAAATCTGGATCTCCATCCAAACCTAAGTGTGCTTCAGTGGAAAAATGCAACAGAATAAGACCAAATATCTGTGACATCTCAAACTAGGTAAACCGTGAAGAGAAAAGGCCAAGTTTTGAATCTTAATCTTCAAAATTCTAATTCTTTGATTTATAAATTGTTGATCACTGTGTATTTTTACCGCATTTGATAAAATTGAATGTACAAATGTGAACAAATGGTTGAATTCCTTCCTATAATCCAAACACTCAAACACAAAAATAGAAACTAAAACTCATGAAAAGCACAGAAAGCTATGAGCAAAAGAAATAGGAAGATCAAATATATGTCAAGAAACCTAAGATGAGAAAAATTAAAGGTGTAAAAATTGGAAAAAATGGACAGGCATGGTGGTACGTGCCTATAATCCCAGCACTTTGGAGGCAGAGGCAAGAGGATCACCATGAGTTTGAGGCCAGCCTGGGCTACACAGTAAGACTCTATCTCAAAAAAAAATTTGGAAAAAATAATACAAAACATTTAAATTTTGAAACAGATAAAAACAGTTGTTATAATTGATATCTAAAATAATTTTTCTGAAATTGCCCTTCCTTAAATTCTTATTTCCTTGCTTTAAGACAGAAGAAAAGTTTTTTTCCCTCTCCTCTCTATCACTGATGTTTTTCTCTGTAAAGACACAATACCAAGTTTCTAAGCTTGTTCTGTTCACCCAGGCAGAGAAGTATTGACCATAGGAGTGTGACTGCCTGAACTGAGAGCTCCGTGCCTACTGCATTGTTTGCTAACATCTGCAGGAGTGCATTCGAATGCCTACACCACTTCAGTGTGTAGAGGCAACATATAGTATTAAGAAGACAAAGGAAGCAGCCACTGAGTACAGAAATGTGGTCATCATATTATAAAAACCTGGTCTAAAATTATATTAAATATTGCACAACTGCATATTTGAAGAGGAAGGAAGAGGGGAGGAGAAAATGTACATGATAACCACGACCTTCTCCTGAACTCAACTGAGAAAGACCACATCATCTTCCCATGAATAAATACCTGTGAAGAAGACTGTCCAAATTTAGGAAGCCACCCCAGATGGTTGCTCATTTTTCTGTATTCCCGTAAGTGGTAGTTTAGTACAGGGCTCCAGGCTCATTTAATACACATTCTGTGATTGGGAGGTAATCATGAATTAGGAAGAGAGTGAGCAAATACATTTTGTAAAGCAAGAAAATGTGACAAAGTACACTGAGGGATGGAAGGCGGCAGGGAAAAGGGAAGGGAGAAAGAGTATAAACCAAGGTAGATCGCAGATTGAAAAATCAGAATCCTGAAAAACAAGACTCCTGGAATTGTAGGTATAGTTCTCTAACCTGGAAAATATGAATAAGTCATGTCTCATGATAAGGTCATATTTCAAGTCAATCATTTACACATTCTTGTGTCTAGAGAATGACAAAGTTATTCAACCAGAAGATGGGAGAGGGAGAGCTCTAAATGGAGAAACTAAAATCTAAAATCCTTATGTGTAGACTTCTAGCTAGGCTTCTAGACAGCGGGCAATGTGTTAAAAACCCTCAACAATATGGGAAAGAAACTAATGAAACTGCAGACCAGAATGTGAACAACAGTACTTTATGTAACATAACTGAAATGACATGGACTCCTTAGGACACTAACCACGGCAGAATTCTTATGAAGGCTTAGGGAGCCAGCAATGGCCTCTGGGACCTGCGTTTAAGAAATTTGTAAGGAAAAGTGATTAGAAGCAGAATGGAACCACAGAGAGGAAAATACCTTGAGCAACAGCAGCTCCAGGACACCCCGCTGCTGGGCTCCGTGTGGAGAGCGCCTCACTCAATTCCAAGTTATGACCTCTCCCAGGTTACCACCCCTAGGGATGACCTGTGAGTCTCCATTCCTAGTGGGGACAAGTGGCAGGACTTTGCCTTGGGTCTGAGTGTGACCAGATCCCTCTCCCATTGTCCTTCTAGAACGGTGACTGTGCTTACATTCAACACTCCCTCAGAGCAGTAGTACTCCAGGGTGATCAGCTGTTTCAATTGATGATTACTTTCATTGTTCCAACTGTGAGATGCAAAGAATAATCAATAATGACATTTTCCCACAAAATCTAGAGCAGCAGGGTGCAAACACTTCTCACAAGTATAAACTTGGGGAAATATACACTGAGAAATTCCTTATTTCATAAGTTTCAATCTCATATGATAAAATGAAGAATTTTGAGAAATAACTATGTAAATATACATTTTAATTTGAATGATTGAAGACTATTAACTTTTAATTGAGAGAAGATAGAAAGAATAAGATAAGGAAAGAAGAAAAGGAGCAGATGATATCATGGAGAACCTGAGGCAGATGTGGGAGGACTTGGGTTTGTACAATGTGTGGTACATTCTGCTCCTAACAAGAAATAGCCTCATTTCACGTGAAAGCCTTTTAAGGGTCTCACTTCCAAATAGCAATACAATCACTTTACTGCCCTACCTGTGGCTCAGGTTTCAGGTCAGCTGTGTCTTGTTAAGAGAGGAAAAGCTACTCACCTGTGTGCTCTGTGATACCATAACGGAGAGTGTCAGAGCGAGAGTGTGAGTCTGCCCTATGCTTGGGAAGAGATGCTGAGCCCTGTTTTTCCCTAGTTTCCTTTCCCACCAGATCAGTGATTTTCCAGTCAACTCTAGGTCCATGACAGCATCTCCCCAGGGGATAGGGACTAACTTGGCAACATGTCCCAATTTCCTGTCAGTAAAAACAAGTGCAAGTTATATGAGTAAATACAAAGAAGCAACCCAGAGGAGTAAGGAGGGAAACTTTTCTGTGAGCCCCTGGAGTGCACAGGATGTCAGAGGGAGGGACACAGGAGGCACAGAGTCCAGTGCTGAGCAAGCAGAAGGCAGATGTGTGGCTTTGTTGAATTTGGGCAATGCGAGGGTTTTCTCCACACCTAATATGTTGGAGGTGTTATGCTCCAAAGAATACCAGCGTTAGCGGGATTAAAGAGGGAAAAGTTGTCTGGTTACTATTCTCTCGTTGCTGAGACAATGTCCAACACCCAAAATTAAGGAAGGAAAGATTTATTTAGCTCACAGTTTGTGGAGGTTTCAGTCTATACTCAGCTGGCTCCAGGGCAGAGTGGCGCACAGCACAGGGCAACAGTTCATGGCAATGGAAAACAGCAAAAGCAACAAGAGCAAAAAGGGAGGAGCAGCAGCGGGGAGAGCAAACCTCTTTCCCTGCTTTATATTGTGTACAAGCTAACGGCCCCAGGGTGATGTAGCACTCACACCCATAATCTCAGTATTGGACCATGGATCAATCATAAACTCTACAAGCCCACACCCATAACTGCATGAGGCATTGGGGAGACATCCAGACACAAACCATAACAGATGCAATGGATATTTTCTGTCTCCTTTCTTTCAGGAGAAATTTTCTAAAGGATTCATTCACATTTTGTGTATGGCTATAGTTTATTCATTCTCATGCTGTAGCAAACTTCACTGCTCACATATAAATCAACTTATAAGGATAATTGATGGCTAGATTCTAGGTATTGCTCTAATAAATGAAACTTCTCTGAGCTTGCTGGGAAATGGACCATGACACCCACATACATGCATTTTGAAGGTGTAGGCTTAAGAATCCACAGGTATTGAGTTATAATGGCAAGCAATTGAATTATAATGGCAAGATGATGGCAAGCAGTTTTCCATATGATTACAACAATTTACTCTTTCAAAAGCAATGTCTGAGTGTTTTTATTTATCTATTACATTAATTTGATAATGATATATGTCTATATCCATGAAAATGTGAGCATTTTAATTATTGGCAACTTTGAGTTGTTTAAATATAGTTCATTCTGTTTTAATATGCATTTTCCAAAGCAATAATAGAATGATTTTTAGATTGTTGCTTATTGTTGAATTTTGAAAATGTTATAATTTAAGTATAAGAGTATAGAAAAATTGCAAAAGTAGTGCAAAGTACTGTCATATACTTTTTCATTAGTTCATATTTTCAGTACATAATTATGACATTTATCATGGGGCGTTAGTGCATAACACATCTTAATTCTGTTTTCATCCCCTTCTCCCTCCCTCCCTCCTTAGTGTTAGGTTTTTGATGCAAAAGAAGAAACAAATAAATGGGGAAAGAAGGCCTTTACTGTGGACACAGAGAGGAGAGGCCTGCATGCAGCACGGGGCTCTTCTGAGGTAGACAAAGGAGGCTGGGGGTTTATGGCTAGAAGCTGAAGGCTCAGGGATGCATTAGAAGCTGATTGGGGCTTCCCTCACGTGTGGAGGAAGGTAAGAGGAAGTTGTATTCAGGGCTGAAGGGAGAAGGGAGAAGATAGACTGTTGTTTTTGGGCTCCAGCTGTGTTAGACCACCACCATAATTCAACAATTCATACTTGGGCAGGAACCTATCATTCCCATCTTTTGGCTGTTAAGAAGGGTGATGACTCTCTCATCCTGCTTCCTGCTGAACGGGGGCCTCATTCTGAGGGTGGGGAGGATTGACAGGATGACGGTTCATGTCTATATAGAAGCTGGTGCTAAGTGTCTCAGCCAGGATGAGGAGTTCATCATTAGTGAAGGCTCACATCTGAGATTGAAGAAACCTTGAAAAAAGTTTAAAAAAGCAAGGTGCTCTGAGTAAACAGGTCATTATCGTGATTAAAGGACCCAGAAGAGGAAGCAGGAGGGGGGCCCATGATCCGAATATGTCATCCACCATGACCATGGTGAGGGCAAAGAGTACTGATTTTTTAGCTCTTGGCATTTGTGCTCTAGCCAACTGTGAAGGCTCTTTACCTTGTCCATGATGATCGCTGATTCATTTACGAAGTGACAGCGTTCTTCTCCCAGCATAGCACTGGCGCCCCCCTTTCTGGCTATCATCAGGACATCAAGAGTGTGGCAGTTTTGCAGGGTAACTGCTGCAAGGCTGTTAATCTGGTTCTGAAGTCAGTGAATAGCGGGTGTTATGTCGTCTATTCTTTGGTGAAGTTTGAGGGAGAGCTGGTGATAAAGTTCTTTGGCATGAATGCTCATGCCTATTCCCCCTGCCCTGAAACCAATTCCATGGACTGAGAGAATGCTCACTCCAGTAAGAACTGGAATGTGAACGGTTCTTGTTTTGTGAGCAGGATGGATGTCCTGAGGCTGGATAGGAAAGATATTTCTATGGTATCTTGAGAACTTATTGCCATGGCTGGGACCAGGAGGACTAGTGTGCATGATCCTGTCCATTGAGGAAGGAGGCAGGTATAAGCTCCTTTTTTGCGTCCTATAAACCATCCCCTGGCAGCGAGAGATGTGCATAGTTTGTCTGTGTGTGATATAATAAGGGCAATGGGGAAGGTCTTCCAGCTGAATAGAGGAGTTTTTGGATTGAGAGATTACACAAGTAAGGTTAGTTAACCATTGTTGAGAGTTGTGAATAAATAGAGGGTCCACTATGGTTGGGTTACTTGGAAAAGATAGGTGAGAGGCATTCCAGTGTGTAGGGGCCACCATGTATAGATGCTGTTGATAAGGAACACAGAGCCAGCATTCTGAGGTTTGAGGAATGTGAGACAGTGTCATAGGCACGTGAGAGGAGCTGGGGAACAGGGGGAGTGATCTTTTGTTGTAGAATCATTGCAGGGTAAGCCAGGGCATCAATAATAGGAAGTGGGGTTATAAGCTGAGTTTTTAAGGTCATAAAATTGCCATAAGTTTTTGCCATTTACTGTCTAGACTAGGGAAGTAGAGTCCTCAAGTTTTGCCCAAGAGGAATTGGGGGTGTGATGCATTAGGAATTGAAAACATTACCCATCTGACATTATTACCCCAATTCACATATCAGGCTGAGATGAGAGGGTCTGCATCTTTTAAGATTTTTCAAAATCTATTTATACCTATGGTCTCACAGCCTGAGGTGTCAAGACAGAAGACATTGACATAGACACATTTTCATTGGTGGAGCATGGGAGACTGGGGAATGATGTATAGACTATCTGGATAGCAACGTATTCCTATAGGTGATTTACAATGAGTATAATCAAGCAGATTTTTTTCATGGATATTTCTTTTCCCTTTCCATGTGCCTTTATCCCAGGTTAGACAGTGTGATACAAGGTAACAGTCGGGAACATGAAAAGTAACTTTGGGATTTGAGGGAGTAAAACTTCAAGAACCTATTATCCCTTGGTCTGGTAGGGTAAGCATCACGGTTGGGTTTTGCATGTGTAGCTGGAGGTGGACTGGAAAGAGTTGGGAGTAGGAGGAGAGTGAGGCTTAGGAGCTGGATCATATTTGAGAGTTACTGTGGGGAAAAGAGCAGGGGAGTGTGGTTACTGAGGATGTCAGTAGGGTAGGCAGTTGAGAGTACAGAACCCAAAGATGACAACAAAATAAAAAAGTATTTAAGCTATCTTATGTGGGGCTTGAAAGTTTTTTGGAAAGGGGGCCAGAGCCCAATGGCAAATGTGAAAATCAGCAGAACAATGAATACCAAAAACCAAATGGGATAACAATACACTGGTTACTTCGATGGCTCACTAGAGTCTTTGGTGAGTTTGAGATGGGTGGGAAATAGGAGGCGTGATGACCACTCTGGTGGTGAAGGTGTAGAGCTGGAGGCAGTGAGACTGCCAGGGCACCGTTTGGCTTGGGTAGTGGGGAACCAGGATGAAAGGCCGGTGACTTTGAGCACTATTTGTGTTGTCAAGATGACCAGGTGGGGTCCAGACCACCTTGGCTGTAACCCTGTGGGCTTAGAAGATTTGAGATATATTAAGTCTCCAGGAGCTATAGAAAGTTTGGCTGTATATCATCCCCCACTTGTGGAAGACAGAGGTCAGCATGTTGTCATAGCAGGTATCAGAGCAAAGATAGAACTGGAATATAGTCAGCAGTGGGGGGAAGGTTATCAGGAACAGGGGAGCTGTGAAGCAGAAATGGTCTACCACACATGAGCTCAAATGGACTTAGGAAAGTGAGGGCCCTGGGAAGTGCCCTGAGTCTAGTCAAAGCTAAGGGAAGGAGCTGAGGCCCAGGCAGGTGTGGCTCTAAGATGAGTTTTGTAAGGTGAGATTTTAGAAGCCCATTTGCCTTTTCTACTTTCCCAGAGGACTGCAGGTGATAAGGTATGTGTAGGTGCCAAGTAATGTTGAGATTTGAAGCAATCTGCTGAGTGATTTGGGATATAAACACTGGACTATTATCTGACTGGATAGTTTGGGGCAGTCCAAATCGGGAATAATATCCCATATGAGAACCTTAGTGACACATCTGCAATTTTCTAAGCAGTGGGGAAGGCCTCTATCCACCCTGACCAGGTACAACGAAAGTGAGAAGATATCTATAAGTTTTGTGGCAGTGCATGTGTGTGAAGTCAATCTGCCAGTCTTTGTCTGGAGTATGCCCACAAAGCTGGTGAGTTGGGAAAGAACGGGATGGTAAGTGCCCCTGATGAGAGGTCTTGGCACAGAGCTGGCAGTTTTGGGTGACTTGGTGAGTGATGATTTTTAGGGGGGATGTGTGGTGATGGAAGCTAAGAGTTTACACAGAGTCTGAGTACTGACATGGAAGTTGTGTAGGTCAGTGATAACTGTTCGTGCTTGTTGGTCTGGAAGAAGGAGTTTTGGCCCTTGGAAGATCCATCCCTGAGTGTTTTGGTGATAGTCAGGTTTGTGGAGTAACTGCAACTGCTCTGATGAATACCAGGGTGAGGGCATGTCTTTGGGGCTGACAGGAAGATGGCGGGAAGGATATGGCTGTGGAGCAGCTAATTTGGCCTGTGTATCAGCAAAAGCATTACTCTGAGCAATGGGATCTGATGGAGTACGGTGTCCGCTGCAATGAATGACTGCCACCTGTTTCGGGAACTGTGCTGCCTCTAGAAGTTTGAGGATGAGAGGTGCATTGGTGATGGGAGTTCCCTGAGCATGGATGAGTCCCCTTTCTTGCCAGATGGCTGCATGAAAGTGGAGAATACTGAAAGTGTACTTGGAGTCTGTGTAGATGTTTTTGGTTTTGTCTTTGGCTAATGTGAGTGCTTGTGTAAGGGCTATGAGTTCTGCATTTTGTGAGGATGTCCCAGGTGACAGTGGGCCTGCTTCTATTACCGTTGATCCATTGACTATGGCATATGCCCTCTTTTGAGTGTCTGTGTTTGTTGAGCTACTGTCTATGAACTGTGTGTCAGAAGCTGTAGGAAAAAGAGTGCTATCACTTTGAGGGAAGGAAGTGGGAGTCATCTGTAGGACTTCAACACAACTGTGTTGAGGAGCCTCATCAGAGTTGGGAAGTAAGGTGGCTGGAATGAGGGGACCACTGGTAGAGATATAATGGAAGAGTCTTATATGAATATTAGACAAACCTGTTGTAAGCCAGAGGGAGTTATCAGGGCAGGGAGTGTCCTGCAAGAGATAAGCTCATTGGGGTTGTGAAGTGAGTGTACTGTGATTGAGTGCCATAAAGTGAATCTTTTTGCCTCTTGTGTTAGGGTGGCCACTGTAGGCTCAAAGAGTACTGTGTTGTCTAACTGTTTTGAGAGATATTCAACTGCCTGAAATGACAGTCCCTGTTTTGAGAGATATTCAACTGCCTGAAATGACAGTGTCCCAAGACTCCCACTGCATTGTGGCCCTGAGAGGAAGTGTATAGGATAAAAGGTTGAGTGGGGTTGGGCAGAGTGAGAGCCGGGGCTCTTAAAAGAGCCTCCTATAACTTACGAAAGAAAAGATGGTATAGGAGTAGTGGGATCTGGAGGTTCTAGCAGGTAGCCCTTGGATGCTTTATAGAGGGGCTGAGCTAGGGAGGCAAAATTAGGGATCCAGAGATGAAAAAAGTTTGCTAAACCCAGGAAGGAGAGAACCTACTGTTTTGTAGTCAGAACTTGGAGGTCAAGGAGGAGAGCTTTACAGTCAGCGGTGATTGAATGAGTGGTGAGAGTGAAGGTGAGTCCCAAATATTTAACCTTTGGTGAAGCTCTCTGAGTCTTGGCTGAAGAGACCTTATATCCCTGTCCTGACAGAAAACTGAAGAGAACAGCTGTGTGTTGTATGGCCAGAGCATGAGAAGGAGAGCAGAGGAGGAGATCATCTATGTACTGGAGCAGTGTGCTGGGCTTGAGGTCAAGGGCCTCGAGGTCAGTAGCAAGAGCTTGGCTAAAGAAGTGAGGACTATCTCTGAACACTTGAGGCAGGGCTGTCCAGGTAAGTTGTAGGGACATGAGAGTATCTGGATCAGTCCATATGAAAGCAAAAATATCTTGGCTGTCAGAATGGAAAGGGATAGTGAAGAAGGCACCTTTGAGATCTAAGACTGTGAAGTGGGTAATGGAGGGAAGGATATGGGAGAGCATAGTGTAAGGGTTTGGCACCACTGGGTGGACTGGGGTAACAGTGTTGCTGATTACCCTAAGGTATTGTACTAGGCAATAGGTACCATTGGGCTTGAGTACTGGGAGAATGGGAGTGTTGTAGGGTGAGTAACTCTGAGAAACCCATTGTCCCTAAGGCGCTTGATTATGAGTTTGAGTCCCCACTGATGTTTGGGAGCTATGGAGTATTGAGGAACACAAGGGAAGACCAAAGGCTCTTTGAGGTGTATTAATATAGATGTAGCATGAGTAGCCAAGTGGGGTTAGAGGAGTCTCAGACTATAGGGTCAACAAGGGAAGGAGGAAGTGGAGGGAATGGGTTGGCAGCACGCTCTGATGGGATTTGGAGGACAAGATCCATGGGGAGGGAAAAGGTAAAGGAGAAGTTAAGCTTTTGGAGGAGATTCTTCCTAGAAGGGGTGTGGGACATGGTGGTATTACTTGAAAACTATGAGTGAAAAAGAGAGTTTGGAACTTGCAGGGGATAGGTCCTGTTTGCAGGGGCTGTGTAGGTTGGCCATCAACTCCCACTATGGAGACTGTGGATCTAATACAGTGACCTGAAAACTCAGGAAGAACACTATATGTGGCCCCCATGTCTAGAAGAAAAGATGTCTTACCTGAGATGTCCAGTGAGACTCAGGGCTCAAAGGATAGCTTAATGGGGCCATGGACCCTGAGCCCCATCAATCCTCTTCAGCAGCAAGACTAGGCAGGTTGGCTGACAATGAATCCAGTTGTGACAAGATCTCCTGTGAGGGCAAGGAATTGGTGGATGGCTTACCTGCTCTCTGGCAGCTAGGACAGTCACATTTTCTTTTTTTTGTTTTGTTTTGTTTTTTTGTTTTTTGTTTGTTTGTTTGTTTGTTTTTCTCCGGTACTGGGAGCCGAACTCACAACCTTGCGCTTGCCAGGCAGGTGCTTTTGCCGCTGAGCTAAATCCCCAGCCCCCGACAGTCACATTTTCAATGGCCCTTGAGGTTGCAGAGGGGGCAAGGCCCTGGTGGAGGTCATGGGTTGGGACAGTCTTGTGCCCAGTGTCCTTCTTTGCTGCCCTTTTTTTTTTTTTTTTTTTAA